GAGGACCTCTGTCACCTCTCAGAAGGCAACACAGGGCTGTGATAGAACAGGTCAGCAGTCACATGTCAGTGGAAGGGAGCCAGCTTTGACTGTCAGCAATTCTGACCTAATAGGATGCAGAGAGTTTTTCTAGGAATTCTAGGTTCATCTCCAACGTCTATACTGCCATATATACAATAAGGAGTTGTGTCTATGGTTAGTAGCAACTGATGAAGTTTCACTATTTTGTGCAGACTTCAGGACCGAGACTAGATTGTGCAGCATCATGCCGGAGCTCTGCTTTATAACTGCTGATGGAGGACCATGTGAGGAGGAGCAGCCCGCCTCCACCCCCCACCCCACCATCAGCTCACTTAACGACTAAGTTGTCCTGCTGCAGCAGCCGGCTGCTCCCGCATCTATGCACCAAGTTGCACCGACTGCTTCTGGCACTAAACAGATGAGTCTGTTCAAAGTAAGTCACGATTTTAGTGATGCAATGATGTCACGGGTAAAAAAGTAGCCCAATGACCACAAAGCAAACATATGCACCATCACGCTGCATGCATCCTAAACACTGCTGCGGGTGTTTTATTACTCTAGAAATGGAAAACAACATTGCATATGTTACTATATGCGCTCTGTTAATTACCACAGACTAAATAAACGTCTCGTCGGGAATAATTTCCCCACTAAGGCCTGACTGGGAGCAGCTGTGCACACGCCTGTAGAGAGGAACTGTTCTCCTACCTGGATGCTGTTGTGGTTCTGGAATGATGCAGCCTGACTCTCCCGTAGCAGAAGTTGTCAGCCTCGCCGCTTGTACATCAGCTTCCAATGCTCGGCCAACCAATCAGCTCGCAGAACCGGAGAGCTTCCAGCACTTTCTGGTTTAGTCTTCACGGTCCCTCTGAGCCGGCCTCCTCTGATTGGATAAAAGCTGCTGTTAAAAAAGAAGGAAAGAAAGAAAGAAAGAACAGCGGACAGAATGAGAGGAGCTTAGAGACATAAATAAGCACAGAGAGAAAGTTCTAGGACTCTCCCGCGTGCACAGGTGTGTTATTAGATAGCAGCAGAGAGAAAACAGCAGTGGATGCATGAAAAACCCATCAGAATCTATTATATTCTAATCTAAACATCAGTCAGAATATTGATTGATGCAAAATCATGGGGGAACTGGTGCGGTTAGAACAAATTCCACCAGTTTTTCTTCTCACCCCACATGTTTAAGGCTGGAAACAAGACATGCACACTCTGAAGTTTAAAAAAAAAATGCATTTTGGAGTAAGAAAGCACATTTTTTTGACTGCTTTTTTACATTGATCAACAGCAACATTAGAACCACCTGCCAAATATTGTGTAGGTCTCCCTCATGCTGCCGTGTCGGTTCTGTCCTGTGCGGCTGTGGACACATCGACCTTTGTGGGTGTCTTGTGCTGTCTGGCTTTGAGACATTGGCAGCAGATCTTTGGTGTCCCGTTGGGTTGCAGGACATCCCACAGTTCCTTGACTGTATTGGGATCTAGGGAGTTTGGAGGGTTTTTTTTAAACACCTTGGGTTCTTTGTCGTGTTTCTCGAACCATTCCTGAGCAGTTTTTGAGGTGTGGCGGGGCACATTGTTCTCCAGGGAGAGTGTGCTGCTGTTGGACATGCTATCGCCATGAAAGGTCTGCTTAGTCTGTGACAATGTTTAGGTGGGTGCTATGTGTCAAGTTAACATCTTCATGGATGAAAGTACCTAAAGTTTCCAGGCACAACAGCAGATTGTGACAAGATGGTCAATTTAATGCACTTTACCTGTCATATAATTGCAGAAAAATTCAGAGCTCTATTCGACTACATTGGTTGAACCACTATGCCAACACTGCTTGCAATACAGTGGCTGTTTGGGCTGCTTTTTAACACACCTGAGTGTTTCAGCCAGTGGTGGGCCATCAGGGCCAACAAGGCCTTCCCTGCTGGCCTAAACTCAGAATCACTAACTTAAGTTGTAAAATTTTCCCATTAACCTTTTAACTTTATTCCCAACAGTCTATTCTCTTCATTTCATAGTGTCTCTGGGCTGTGGTGCTTCCAGCAGTGTACGTTTATATTAGAGCTTTGGTCCAATCGTATTTCAGCCATCATGTGTTGCCGGGTCACAGAAATCTGCCCTGAGGCCTTCAGAGTCAAAAGTGCAGGCGTCTGTGGTTTAAAATGCATTGCAATGAAACTGTTGCTTTAACCAATCAGATTGAGAGTTTTTGATCCCAGGACCAGCTCGCTGGTCTATGTTGATGTCAACACTTTCACATCCTCTGGTTGGATGGTCAGAGAGCTTAGCCAAAGCTAGCGGTTCCTGTCTGCAGTGGCCTGCACATGCTAAAACTTTCGTGTAAAAATATTACTTTCAGGGTCTTAGCGACAACAACAAGTCACTATCCTCTCTGTATGTCTTTGCGTGTTCGTTATGAGGGACAATGCAACCATGTGCGTGTTAGAGAATTGGTTGTCCTTTTCGAGGATGTGTGTAGACAGTAGATACCAGGTCAACATACATACACAAAGAAGCCACTAGTCATCATATCCACCAAATCAGAATCAGAATCAGACACAGAAACAGATTTATTGCCAGGTATTGTTCATGAGGCTGGTGACAGAAGGAAAGAAACTGTTTTTGTGGCGTGAGGATCTGGTCCTGATGGACCGAAGCCTCCTGCCAGAGGGGAGTGATTGGAAGACTTTGTGGGTAGGAGGGGTCAGCCACAGTCTTGCCTGCACGCCTCAGAGTCCTGGAGGCGTGCAGGTCCTGGGGAGAAGGCAGACAGGCCTCTGTTAGAACAAATAGCACAAACTCAGAATACTTCAGACTGTTTCGCTCCACCAGACAAGGTTGTCCACTAAGCCCTCTTGTATTCCCTATGGTCATGGAGCCTCTATCAGCTGCCCTGAAATCTCACCCCAATCTCGGTGGTATAATCAGAAATGGAGTGGAGCTGAAAGTCGCCCTGTACACGGACGACCTTCTATTATTCTTGTCTGACTTATCACACTCCATTCCTGCCACCCTTTCACAATGGCTAATCTTCATAGAATGAATTTTGCCGCCTTGCTTACACAAATCAAGCAAGATTTTGAAAGATGGTCCTTACTTCAACTATCCACTGCCGCTAGAATTAATTTGGTGAAGATGAATATTCTTCTGCGTGTTTTATATCTGTTACAGTGCATTCCAATTTTTCTCCCTCTGTCCTTTTTCAAAACAGCAGCTAACCTCATTATAGATTTTATCTGGGATAAAAAAAACCCACCCAGGTTGTGATGTCAGATTCTTCAGCGACCTAAAGAGTTAGGTGGAATGGCCCTGCCAAACATCCTGTTTTATTATTGGGCAGCCAATATAAAGAATTTGAACTACTGGCTTCGCTATGAGAGTATTGAGAATCCTCCACTGTGGCTAGTTGTTGAAGCTAATTCCTCTTATCCGGTGACATTGAAATCCCTACTGTATTCACCTCTTTTATCTTCTACTTCCCCTTATTCAGAAAATGTTGTTGTTGCCTCCTGCCTCAAAATTTGGACCCAATTCTTTGGTCTACAAACCTTTTCTGTCCGGGCTCCAATCTCAGCAAATCATGCTTTTCCTCCGTGCTTATTAGACACTACATTCTCTCGGTGGGCAGGCTGGGCCAAAAAACTTTTAAAGACCTATATATAGACTCAATATTTGCATCATTCCAACAGTTTGTTGAAAAGTTTTCACTACCTCAAGGCCAATTTTTCCGGTACCTTCAAATTCGGAGCTTTGTTCGCTCTTTGTGTCCAGATTTTCCTGCCCTCCGTCCCTCCTCAGACTTGGAGATTTTTTTGGAGCCTCTTCCCTCATTGAAGGGTGCAATATCTGTCATATACTCTAGCATTCACAAAATCAGCTCAAACTCCTCTTGATATATCCTCAAGACTGTTTGGGAGACTGACCTGGGTCAGGAAATTCCAGATAGTGTTTGGGAGGGAGTCCTGCAGACGATACACAAATCTTCAATTTGTGCTAAACACAGCTTCACTCAGTGTAGGATCTTAAATCGAGCCCATTACACTAAAGTCAGACTAGCCAAAATATTTAATACAGCCTCCTCTGTCTGTGACCGGTGTAAACAGGCTCCAGCTGACTATATACATTCCTTCTGGCACTGTCCCTCTTTGAGCAAATACTGGGCTGGTATTTTGGGTTGTTGAGTTATCTGTTCTTTGTATAAAATTTGAAAGGTTTTCACCTCATTATGTAAAGTGCTATGAGATGTCGTGTTGTGAATTGGCGCTATATAAATACAATTAAATTGAATTCAAATTGAATGTGAGATCTCATCGGTGTTGTGGCTGTTGTGATTCAAACATAAGATGGTCCCCAGTTCTGTTTTTTTATTTCAACAAATCTATTTTGGATATATTCCATGCTGTGGCCCCTTTTGTGCTTATTTTGTCTCTGCTGCGTCTTTCCTCTGTTACAACCTACCCCAGTGAAACCAGGGAACCCTATGCGTTCGACATGGTCTTAAGGAATCTGTTATGTTCTTAGAGACGTTTTTAACTAGCACAATTTGTATTGAACAAATGTAGGTACTTTATATACAGAGACACAGGTGCTCAAGCAAAAAGTGCTGTAGCCATACCTGTTATACTCTTACACAATGTCAACAGAGAAGATATTTAGGAGAGTGAATTTAGGTGAATTCTCACACTACAACTCTATTAGTTTGGCAAAATAGAGCAATGTTTTTATCTGAACTGCTGTCATATATCATTCTATGTTGTTTAAAGGTGTAGCTCACCGGTAATTTTATGGAGGATTTCTGTTTTTATATTCATCAGTTTTCCATATCTATTTTATGTGTAAAAATCCTGAATTATTAACCTTTGAACTTTACGGTATCACATGAGAATCACTTGTATCAAAAAGTCTGTGGAAACCACACAACTGTGATGTCATGGAAGGTCCCTCAGTGGAGCACAAATACATCGAGCGATGAGGAAATGCAACAGAGTCAAAGTGTGGCTGCTAGTGACAGAGATGGAAGTGAAGCTGCAGTTCAGCGTCTTCATGCTACTCATACAGGGTAAGTCCGTTATTTTTTTTCATGCTTGTTGACAGACAAAGTTTGTTATGAAATGTAGAAAAGACCGAAATACGACCGGGACCTGGATCTGATTATTATAATGAAGTGGTACGTTATCTAAACATGACAGCTTAGGTAGCATACCACAACGCCTTTTAAGGGTGGAATCAAACTCTGATGCTTCTGACAAATCAAATCGTTTAATCTTCTTGCAAAAGCGTTGTTGCTTTTGTTGCTTGAGCTCAAGCTTTTGTTGTGTGTTTATACATTTTTTATGTTTTTATGAATGACTTCTCTGTTTGGATTCTTATCCAACCACACAGTATGTGTGTACAGTGTCCTCTGAAAGTAGAATGAAACTTTAGACATTTGAATTTAAAAGTTAAAATCAAAACATGATGTGTATATATGAAGAGTTCATTTGCAAAAACAGATAACTCCATCTTCACAGACCTTCAGAGAACCCACTTGAGACAATATCAATCAAACTTAAGTTATCTCTATTTTTGTCATTTCTACTGAGTCAAATCCACTCAGCTTTAGTTTGATTGATATTATCTCAAACAAACAACAAAAAAATAAGTTTTCTGAAAATCTACAAAAATGGCGTTATCTGTTTTTGCAAATGAACTCTTCATATATAATGTAATTGAATATATTCGCCCTGAGTCAGCTGGGATAGCCTCCAGCCCCCCGTGACCCTAGTGAGGATTAAGCAGTGTATAGAGAATGGATGGATGACCTGAATATATGATTACTGAACCTGAAAATATGTTCACACAGGCTTTACAAACATTTTCAGGTTCAGTAAAAGTATCTAACAAGCACACCAGAGTGGAAAAAACTCTGGTCCTTCAAGCCCACTGACCTCGGCACTAGTGTAAATATGCCCCCACAAATGGGTTTTCCAAACAGCTTGTCATTCTCACCCCACAGGACAGAAAAAGAACCTGAAGCCCCCGTGAACAACCTACATCAAATTTATTTTCTCTCACAACTGCTTTACTTTCTCTTTCACCACGAAAGAACTGACCACATTGCTTCCTGTCACAGCTGAAATGCACTGAATAAGGGGGGCTTACTTCTACACACAGTGTGAGGGCAGTGATGGAATGGATGAGTCAAAGTGTGAGAAACAGGTCGTGGTTGTTTTTTTTACACTTCGGACACCCTCATGAAACGGAAAGAAACAAGCTTCCACTGCTCTTAATGTGACCTAGTAGATGGTTGCTCAGTCTTTTTTTTTCTGAAGGGTAGAATAGCATTTTATGAAATGTTAGATGTATCATCAAAGCTTGGTGTGCAATTACATTGTGTGCTTGATGTGAATTAGTTTCAAGCTAATCAAAGTTATTTGATATGACTTATCTGATTACAGCTTCACTGGCGGTGTGGCAGCGTGTGACTGTGATGAAAGGCCAAGTACTCACCTTAACCTGTCCTATTACTGATGCTCACAAGTCCCATGTGGAATGGAGGAACTCTGAAGGACTTCATATGTTCTTCAATAACCATAAAGGTGAAGAGGATGCATCTTGTACATCAGTCACACTAACATACACATAAGCAGAAACTCACACTGACTGATGTTTGGGCCAAAATTGCAAGAATCCTTCATACTTGTGAAAGAAGAATATTAAAAATCTTTTCTTTTTTTTCTTCCAGCAATAAAGGACAAACGCTACAGCATCATCAAACTGTCTGAGACAGAGTTCTCCGTCAGTATTTCCAATGTCACCTTTAAAGATGGAGGCATTTACAGATGCTTGCACTATACCCATCCCACAACAGAAAAGAAGGTGGAGGTGACAGTAATAGGTGAGAACAATGTTAAAGCCACCAGAGATCTCACTTGACGAGGTTTTCGTAACTTTACCATGAGTGCTATCACCTTCATTACAACTCAACACGACCATTATGGTGTTGGTTGGACAGATATTTCATCGTCCTGCAATAACATTCTTTCTGGAATTGATTCTTTTTAAGGTCGTCCAACAAGTTCAGCAACACTTCATGATGGAAAGATCGTCACAAAATGCACTGCTGAGGCGAACTATCCCCCCCCCAGTATCTCCTGGCAATTTGATCAGGGGCCTGAATTTGATGGTAAGTTTGAAAAAACTCAGATTGTTAACTAAGCAATAAGAGTAAAAAATGTAACTAAGGAGTGAAGTCGTAGAAGGTACAACAACACACAAAGGTACATCAGCTTCCATCTTGAGCTGCACGTTCTGCATCTTGCTGTTGTAAACCAACCCTCTTCTCTCTTTTTGGTCAACCGTATTTGTTATGCAGAGCTGCAAATAGCATTGCTGGTTTAGAGAGAAGCGACTGTAGCCAGTAAGTTTGCACATACTGTGATGCAAATATATAAACGCTGCCACATTATGCTTTTAATTTCAAATCAATTTTAAATCCGTCCATTACAAAAAAGTCATCAAGCCTTACAATACGTAGAAAGGCTGAGAAACAAGCTTAAAATCAACAATAGGTTGTCACAATTCAAGTTAAATAATAGACAATACTTCACTGTGATGAATTAGGGCTAGTTACCTTGAAACATGAATAATAAATGGGTACATCTGGTGCTTGACATGATTTATCTTTGATAACAGTCTATCAAATTGAATCATCTTAAAAAGAGATTTAATGATTTGAAATATTTCGTCAAGTTTCTAAGCAGAAATTGCAGGAGATTTGACACTTGTCATTGTTTTTTTTTAACACCCAGTCCTTTGTCCTGGTTCATGTATTTGCACTTTTGCAAATATATCAAAATTAGGTTCAACTATAAAGTAAAGTTTTCTTTAAACAGGGGAGCTCAACACTGCAAACATGTGAACTGACTAATCTTCCAGTAAACTCATAGTAAACGTTTTGGAAACTATAGATGTCAATTTGATCAAATGTCAAATTTATAACACTCCTTCTTCTCTTGGTGTGAACTACTGCACCTTCTCAGCAGAGGATGCTAACAACATCTGTCTCTTTCCACAGCTCATGTACAGGTCCATCATGAAGGTAAAAAATATATCTCTGTTGGGATGATAAACGTTGTCCAACCAAAGGAAGGATTCTCTTTAAAATGCCTTGTTCGCCACCCAGCGCTGCACTCCCAGCATCTGTTGGACTTTACCGAAATTGGAAAAGATTGTGAGTATATTTCTGTTAATCTCTAGCTTACTTACCTGCTCTGTGTCAGTTACTATAACTTCCAAAAAGCACAATTTAGAAACAGTCTTTCAAACGTTAACTGGCCCTTGTATTAGACAACACTTGTGAACTATAACGTACTTCTGCATAATAAGTGATATTTGAGGAAGAGTGCCAGTGTAGTCGAAACACGGAAAACACTACAGAGGGGTTTTTTCTAACGAGTTCCTCCATGACGCTGTCCACATCGTTGGACTGTGAAACTTGACCCATCAAAATAACCATAAAGGACAGCCCCTTGTAATTTCCTCTTTCTATGTGTTGGAAATAGTCTGGTTTCCTGCAATCTAATTTTGAAAAAAAAACAGTGAGACTTTCAGATTGTTGAATAGTGGGCATGGATTTTCATTTGGATTTTCCATAAACTGAATGCTGTTTTTCTTCTTATCAATAACATAAACTCTCTTTCTGTAACAGCAAAAATATCCTTCAGCACAACCACAACCAGTTCACCCGCAGCGGTGTCCTTCACAACTGGAGATGTGAGCGGGTCCTCACAGGGGAGCACATCTGTTTCCTTCACCCAGAAGTTTTCCTCTGATGACGTAAAGACAGTTACAGCTTCAGTTCCTCTGAACCATGTTACATCCACAGGCTCACACCTCAGTGCTAGTGGTGAGTTAAACTGGCCTCGCTTCTATGTGATTTTCATGCTTGGCTTTAAGTGAAGTAAAACTCTACATAGGATGACATGTGTTGAGATGAAAAGAAAAAAGAAAGACTCCTAAAGAAACAACAACAGTCCTAAAAAAGTAACGACCAAACCAAAAAGTTTTTTCAGTGAGGTGTTGGAGAAAAAATGGTCACACCTTTTGACATTGTAAATTACGCCAGTCCTCAAAAACATGCATATAACAAAGTCTGCAATCATTTATTAAATGCACAGCTTCTAAAAAAGTAAAGTAAGTGTACACTGTAAAAAATCGATTGCTCAAGATAGCAAATGTATAGTACACTACACAAACTGTTAGCGTGGGGGATGGAAACTACATGTCTCACTTTCACAGCTAGTGCAGCTAAACCACTTCTGTGGTTGTGATGCGTCTAGCTCTGCTTCCTGTGATTACAATCTCTGAGTAAAAGACGAAACTCCGTCACTGTAAATGTGTTAATAAATTCTGAGGATGGAACAATGAGATAAAGAGCAGCTGTGAAATATACACGAGTATCTAAGATTTGATCCCCCGTCTCCAATAAAGACCCCTTACATCTTCTGTCTTCAGTGTTTTACCTTTAAACACTAGGCAACAGTTTGTCAGAGATAGCTCTATTAAACAAATACATTTATACAGAGCATTTCAGCTATTTTAATGTTTACTTCATCTCCTTGTCTTCCTTTTTACTTTTCAAAAATGTTTCTGTTTTTTGTTTATAGAAGAGCCTTAATCATCAGATGATGTTCATTTCTTTTGTAGATAACTGGCAAACCTCTGTGTCACGAGACTCAACCGGGGAGAGCAGTCACACCACTAGTGAGGCAACGAACACAACAGGTATGAAATCCCCTGTAATGCCAGATTACTGTATGTGCCAAACTGTTCTTGAAACGTGTATGCCTGATGCCATCTTGTGGTAATTCTGGATAACTACAATTGAGTTGATCACTCAGAATAGAGGGTTGAGTTGGGCTGCAGCAGCCTTATTATTGCTTTGTTAATTATTGTGTCTGCTTTCTACATCTACAGACTGGATATCTGTCTCTAATACAACAGAAAACTCCACCTCCTTTAACGGTACAGGTAAGTTCACTCTATAAACCATACCAGTGTGTGCTTGGATGAGACTAATATACTGTTTCTCTGTCATGAAAATGCTATTAAGATCACAGGCCTTCCCTATGCACACTAAGATTTGGGTTTCTGCTAATTTCCAGGGAGCTCTGACTCAAATATGCGAAGAGGAAGTCAGGGAAATGCATCATTACTGGTCCTCCTAGTGACATGCCTAATCTTTGGCCTTCTCGTGGTGGTGATTTTCTTTGCCATCAAGCTGAGGAGAGCACACATGGCCTGGAAGAGAGGTAAGCAGACCACATTCCCATTTTCTGCTTGGCAATGTGCATTAGAGTCAAGCTGCTGTTAGTTTCAGCTTTAGTTAAGGCCATATATTCATGAAGCAAATCCTCTGTGCTGCTTTTACTCTGTCCTCTGTGCCATGTGTGTCCAGAAATATCTTTCTAATTCCATATGTTTGAGAGCTTGAAAGTGCCATAATGAACAGCAAGTAATGCAGATTGGCCGCAAGTGCTATATTCACTAATTGAATTAATTTTAAAAAATAAAAAAAATCATATCACAGTTTTTATTGTTACAGAGAATGAAGATTCCGTTCCATCAGAGGAGAGCAGTAAATCCAAATCAAGCCAGGAGGAGAAGGGCTTCCCAGGACAAAGGAAAAGAGGTACATCGATAATTTAGCAATCCTTTTGTTTCTGTTTCCTTCATTTGCCAAACTGTTTAATGAGAAAATCTGTGGGAAAGTCCTGAAAATCCTGCCAGCACAGGCTGTAATTGCTGCTGCTCATATTACACGCCTAGTGAATGAAAACATTCATCATTTTGTGCTCAGGGTTCAAATGTGATGATTATTATTGAATGTATGGTTTAGCTTCAGGCAGCTTAGTGAAGCATGGTGGTGGGTGTTTACTCACTGTTATCAGCCTTGGGAAAAAGATGCAAACTTTTAACTTGTCATCCTGACAATAAGGTCACTTTGCTCACATTTACCAATAAAGAATCCCTCTACTGAAAGATTTTTTTTCCTTAACATATCCTTGTGTTTCTTCTTCTTTTATTTAGTGCTAGAAGACACATTTTCCAACTTAAATCTGAAGTATACTAAGAAAAGTCTCAAAAACCTGACTCAGCCTTTTGGGTTTCATATGTCGCAAACCTCTGCAGTTCATTCTGGGTGGGACTTCCTGTATCTCTCTTTTTTTTCAGAATCAGTTTCCGGTTGGAAACTGAATGACTCCAGTATTATAACTTATCATTGTGTGGCCTTGAGTAGTTTTACGATGTTTGAGCAGAGTTGTAAATGAGGTGCAGTGCTGATTGCAGGCGTATGTGGAAAAAGGGGGGCAGGGACTTCAATGATATGCACATTCTTAAGGATGTAATGGTGCAGAGTAACATCTAACTTATTTTATGATGTTAATATGTGCCGATTTACCTCATTCAACATACTATGATAAATTTCAATTTTTAATTTGTTATTTAGTTTTTATTTTTTTACATTTGCTGGTTCATATTAGAATGACAAACTCAGCCTCATGCCTTTCAACCATAGTAGATGCAGGGCTGGTGTGTGAAGAAGCAATCTGTTTCTGTAATGAATCACTGATTGTGAATTGCTCTCTCTCTCTCTCTCTCTCTCCTTCTTCTTTACAGCACTCAACACAGCATTCACACAGTATGTTAATGAAAAACCAACAACGATAACGATAATAGCGCCACCAGAGAGCGTCAATAAAGAGCAAACCTTGCAACCTCAAACCTCAACTCAGACTTCAGCCACAAATGATATCAAGGAAACATCACTCTAACGTTGCGTCGTCAAGAAAACCACCAGCAGCCTGGACTGTTTACACGAGGCAGGTTGGCTCCATGGATTCATGCTGTTGCCACCAAATTCTCGGCCTGCTGATCTGCAGCATCAGCAGAAACAGAGACTCATCAGATTAAGATGTTTTACTTCAACTGTCTTCAAATCCTGGACAAAGATGCTCAGACAAGCCTGCCTGGCACCAACCACGATTACGCCATTGCAAATCACATCTCTCCCCACTCTGACGTTGAATGTGACCTGTACGAGTTTGTACATTAACACACATTGCCTGTAACTGTAGTTCTGTACTGTACTATGTAAATGCTGTATAAATGTATTTTGTGTATTGTATATTGTGTAAACATGTACCAATAAATTATATTTTGATAGAACAAACTGTGTTTGAACATGGATGGGCAGCATTTAAGGAATATTGTTTTGCATATTATCTGTATTTTATTCTGTTTTTTTCCCCCATCATCTACATACACATAGTTAAGATAATTAAAAAGAAGTTATATATATATATTTTTAAATATGTAACATTCTTTCAAATGTATCTGATTATATGTTACTTAGAAGCCTTTAGGTTACAAATACATAAGTTTTATAGAAACAGTAGCCAAATGAAGGTCAAAATTGTCCATAATTTATCAAAGTGGTTATAAAGAAACAGATTCCAGTACGAGGAAGTGGACTCGCTAGCCCTGCTCAAACTATGCCTGGGCTGTACTTCCATTTCTTTATCGATTCATCTATTAAGTAAGAGTATATGCTTATTCCATTGTTTAATCAGACGCGTATGCAATATAAATATGAAATCTCGAAAACAAGGTCGTTTGGCGAACGACATGTTGTCTGTCCAGACACAGCTAACGCCCGGGTCCATGCGGTCATTCACTGCGATTATGAAATGCAGACGGTGAAACGGGAAGTCGGAAGTACCGTCATATGCGTCATTAAATATGCTAAGCCTCATTGGTCAACTGTCGAGGAAAGACTTGAAGATTCGACGCTGATTGGCTGCTGCGCCGTCCATATATAAAGAACCGTTAAACGTACGTCTTCCTTTCCCTTCTCATACCGGCAAGGTCCAGTCTCCCTCGCCGTCCTCTCCCACCCAGCACCCAGTCAACCTCGGTTCAACAATTCGGTAAGTTCCTCTAGAATACGTCCCCTCTAATGGTTATGAGACTATATTCGTTCCCACGCACGTCTTGATTTGCTTCGGTGTTAGCTTTTACCTCATTCATTGCCGGCAGTAGCGGACAGATAAATTCTTTAACGTGAAAATTCGTCGTGCTTGATGTGAACGAGAGAACAGATTGGTAACGACGGCGACGATGTCAATTCCTATGCTTGTTCTGTGGCTGTAATCATTGGCTCAGATGGTGCATTTGTTAACAGCGGCTTCTTCGGAATGGTGGGGGTGGGGGCGGGTGTTCTGAGACGTTCCAGAATGTTCTCGAACACGCGCTGTCAAGCTACCCGGATTGAACAGACTTCCGGTTGATTTTTAAGAACAAAAGCCGCCTTGAATTATAAGCGTCTCTGGTTGAAATTGCTGTAAGGCTGTGTTGGCTCTAACCGGTTTAATATTACGTTTATACACGGTAATGTTCATTATTTTATTGATTAAACGCTAAATCTGCTGGTGCGTTTTTGTCAACTTCCCCTCGTAGCTCTCGCGGTGTTGTGTAAAATGGTGTGTCATTGTCACGTGGCCAAAACTAACGCTGTGCTTGCACAGGTCCGTTTATCAGCATTGCGTAGGTTGATCAGCACAAAGGCTTTATTGAAATTGCATAGTGTTACTACTTCAGTACTTAAATGATGTTTTGGTTGATGTGATGTTGGAAAATGCAATGTCTCTACTGGAACTATCATTTAAAGATTAAAGTAGTATGATAATGAAGTGCAGAAAATTTGTTTACTGAATAATTTACTTTTTGTAACCTACTGTTATAAGTCTGTTTAGTTTTTTTTTTTAAACACAAAAAGCATTGACATAAAACTGAATGTACTGGGAACTTGTTATTAATTGTATATATTGTTGCCTTTGTTATATTCAGGAAACATGTCTAAGGGACCAGCAGTCGGCATCGATCTTGGGACCACCTACTCCTGTGTTGGTGTGTTCCAGCATGGCAAAGTTGAAATCATTGCCAATGACCAGGGCAACAGGACCACACCCAGCTATGTGGCCTTCACAGATACTGAGAGGCTGATAGGAGATGCAGCCAAGAATCAGGTTGCCATGAACCCCACCAACACAGTCTTTGGTAAGCATGAACGATTATTGAAAAAATGTTATATTGCATACTAATCAGTCGTGCCAGCTGGAAATCAAGTCATTTATCACAGCAGTTAATTACTTTAATGTCCAATCGCACTTGTCATAAACAATTGTACATTTGAACTTATCACAATTTGAAAGAATTACATCAGACTGATATGACCTGTAAGTTGTCCCATCAGATTACACTAATGAGTTTTTTTTTTTTTGCCATTGGTAGTTTCCACAAGAGTGAAACATCTAGCCCAAATCCTTGTTGTCTGATATTTCTAGTAGATGGACAGTTTTTTCCTTTTTTTTTTTTAAAGAAATAAATTGTGTTTTGCAGATGCCAAACGACTGATTGGCCGCAGGTTTGACGATACAGTTGTGCAGTCAGACATGAAGCACTGGCCATTTAATGTTATCAATGACAACACTCGCCCCAAGGTTCAAGTTGAGTACAAAGGTGAAAGCAAGTCATTCTACCCAGAAGAGATTTCCTCAATGGTGCTGACAAAGATGAAGGAGATTGCTGAAGCCTACCTCGGAAAGGTAAGCTTTTAATAATGTGTGATAGGAAGAAGGATTACAATTTTAATATGAATCACACTAATGGTTGGCTTTTACCTTTTCAGACTGTCAACAACGCTGTAATCACAGTACCTGCCTACTTCAACGATTCCCAGCGCCAGGCCACAAAGGATGCCGGTACCATCTCTGGCCTCAATGTTCTGCGTATCATCAATGAACCAACCGCAGCTGCAATTGCTTATGGGTTGGACAAGAAGGTAAATAGGACTTAAAACCCTTCCAAATATACAACAGTATGTAATGTGTGACCAAATTATGGCTGTTCATCATGATCTTCACTTTTGGACATTGTTAATCTGTTGCATTAAATTTCAGGTTGGGTCAGAGAGGAATGTTCTCATTTTTGATCTTGGTGGTGGCACTTTCGACGTGTCCATCTTGACCATTGAGGATGGTATCTTTGAGGTCAAGTCCACAGCTGGAGATACTCATCTTGGTGGGGAGGACTTTGACAACCGCATGGTCAACCACTTCATTGCAGAA